TGCAATTTTGATATACCGTCTGAAGAATTTTTACTGAAGCAGGCTATGTCAGTAAGACAGTACATGGTATTACGGATATGCATTCAGTTAGTGGTTTTCTACCTACAGAGCTCCCAAGTTGATTATAAAATTAAAGTTGAGGTTCTCCTGAGGTCTGTTTTAAAATGGAATAATAATAATAAATGCTTGGGCCACTGGCATAACTGATACATGGTTCTATACGTAAAAAAGAAGAGAAAATAAAAAAGGGATTTTCTTTTTTTTCTCTCTAACAGAGTTGAAAGGAAACCAGGCATCTTTCCCATGCTAAACATCCACCTTCTCATTACCATGAGTAACAGCCAAAGCAGAGTAACATTCAGTAGCATTAGCAATAAGCCTCAGAATCACAGAACCATTTGCTTCTGACTTAATTAGTTTCTTCTGTAAGAATTAAATTGTATTTTCCTCACAGAAGAATGTCTTTCTGAATTTTATTGCAGTCTGGTATTAATATTCAAATCCAACAACCCCTCTCAGGCACAGCAGAATGACTCCATTTATTTTACCACATGAAAACACAATGCAGCCCCCAAGTGTATATTTTCAGTGGGAGAGGGGGAGGATGGCTAGCTATTTACAAATGAGCCAGAGAACAATATTATAGTATTATATTCCATAATAACATCAATGTTTAAGACAAACGTAAAGGAAACATGCTAAGGCACAGCCTCTGGTGAAATTATTTGCCCTTTTGTTTTGCACCTTTACCCATCTGAACAGCTACAGTTCACCTCTGGAGTCAGGGCTATGCATTCAGGTACATTCCTGAATCACTCAAATGAGTAAAGCCCATGGCAGTGGTTCCCAACCTATGTAGTGTGACCTCATGGTACATGACGCACAGTGACCCAAAGACTGCATGAGGCCCCACAAGCCTGCAGTGGTTGCATTTTTCCTCCATGAACTGCCACACAATGCCACTGTCTCCTCCTTGGCATGCAATCTGACATACCTAGTCTATTCTTCACACGACAGGCCTTACTACTACTCAACCGCTCATAAAACAAAATAACTTGGGTAGGATTTACCCCATACCGAACACAGTCATGAAACCTTCACATCTGCACAGTCTGCCAACCCTTCTGCACCTTCTTCCATGATGTAAAACTGGTTTGCGCACCTTTCTGTAAGTTATTTTCTGGCCATTACAATAGAAAGAAAACACGGGACAGTTAAACACAGAACTTGCATCTAGTGTGTTAAACCACCACATTGTCCTCATGAGCTCTCATCAAATATCTCTGCTATTTGGTTTTAATAAATGGTCTTTCATGGTAAAATATATACAGAAGAGGACTCAAGATTAAAACTGATGATTAAATACCAAGTTGTCCAGAAATGAAGTCTCCAAATGTGTCTGAAGCAGCACAGTCAAAGCCTCATTGTACGCACGTCATTTCCTGTTAGTGACTGTTTTCCTGCTCTTCTGAAGAGACTAAAGGATGTCAAATGTAAATACTACTCTTTCTCAAACATAACTACGACTCATCTGAAAGGGGAATTTGATACACGGTATCAAGGCAAAGTCCAATAAGAGGAAGAATCCATGAGTTCATCCAAGAACACATAAGCAAGGAATAGTTTTGTGACCCTGTTAGAGGCAAGAACAAAAAACATTATTTTCAAGCTAACCGAAGAAAATAGAAAATCTGTAAGGAAAGGTAACAACCCTGGCTCACAGAATAAAGTTGTTATAACAAAATACTATCATCAACACATAATTCAAGATGGTTTGGACCTAATTTTCAGGATATACAGTTCTGAGCCAGGGAAAATCTGTCATTTAACGGTTGGCTGCCCACAGCATGCACAAGTGAATTATACCAATGCTTCAGTGCATTTGCTAAGTGCTCGCACTGAAAAATCTGTTGGAACACTTTTATTTGAGAATGAGAATTACAGGTTTAATGCAAGACCGACAAAACAACAGCAAAACTGAAAATCAGGCTCCTTTGACATTAGGCAGACTAACTGGCAGGCCTCCAGGGAACCGGCCAGCTCTTGCAGTCCATAAACACCCAAGCCTTTCTGCTGCTATTGCAAGCTTTGGTTGTGAGGAAAAAGAGCAACAGCCCTGAGTTACATTATGGGTCTGGCTGAGATGGAGTTAATTTTTCCCCATAGCAGCCCTCATAGTGCTGTGCTCTGCATTGGTACCTAGAAAGGTGTTAATAACACACCAGTGTTTTGGCTACGGGTGAGCAGTGCTTGCACAGCATCAAGGCTGTCTCTCCAACACTGCCCCCTCACCAGTAGGCTGGGGGTGGGCAAGATCCTGGGAGGGAACATAGCCAGGACAGCTCACCCAAAGTGACCAAAGGGATATTCCATACCATATGATGTCTGCTCAGCAATAAAAGCCAAGAGAAAGGAGTGGGGGGGGCCTTCGTTATTATGACGTTCGTTTTCTGGAGCAACTGCTACACGTACTGAAGCCCTACTTCCCGGGAAGTGGCTGGGCATCACCTGCTTATGTGAAGTAGAGAATAAATCTTTTGTTTTCCTTTGCCTCTGCGCACGTTCTTTGCTTTTATTAAACTGCCTTTATGTTGACGCATGAGTTTTTTCCCACCTTATTTTCTCCCTCTGCCCCGCCACTGAGGAGGAGAGTGATAGAGCAGGTTGGTGGGCACCTGGCATCCAGCCAAGGTCAACCCACCACACTTTACAACTGTCAAGATGCAGATGCTAGGCAGACTCATACGCATTATCAGCTTGCCCAGTACCACCTCCAGAAATAAAATACAGCATGAACTCAGAACAGTTACTCTCAAAGTATGAAGATGAAAAACTGCCACCTTTGTCACTACAAAACCTAATTTCTAGCCAGACTCAGAAATGTTTGATATATAGGATAACAGAAGGGAGTCTCGGTGCTTCAGTCATCGAACTACCCTGCTTCTCATGTGTTCAGCTAAATTCATTTATCAAATACAAGTTGTCCTCTGACGTTAAGACTGCTGCAATGATAAACCTGGAAGTAATTTAGGGACTGCTTCTTTGTGAAACACAAGTATGACAGAAACCACTCAATGAATATGTTGCTGCTATCACATTTTTCACTTGAACTGAATCTTGGACTAAATTCGGGAATTCAGCAGCTAGGAGACAAACTATATATTCACTAGACTTATAGTACTCAGTCTTTGAAAATGGAAAAATACTGTGCAAATTTACAAATAAAGATATTAGATCTTTCAAAATTAAAAATAATTTTAAAAGGTAACTTTAAAAAGAGAACTACCTTATTCTAGACCTTTTTGTGCTCAAATTGTTAACGATAATTAAAAATCAACAACTTGTTGCTTTCTAGGAGTAGCCATTGTACTTTGCCATAATCCATCACAATTACTTCTAATTTTTTACCTTCAGAATGACTGACAAAATGTCTTACTACAGAAAATTCAAGAAAGAATCAGACTCCCATATTCCATTGTTTTCAGGAAGTGTAGAACAAAGGCACTTACTTCCTATTTCTCCAAGAAGGCCAATATTTTACTGAATCTTTGGATCATACTATATTTGGTCTGACACCTTCCCCTACAGCAGGGTGTATTTGATATTTGTAAACAGTGAAACAGAATGACCACTTTCAAGAGGTTAAATGGTAGCATTCACAGCCTTGTTTTTCTAGCAGGAGGTGGGACATGGTAGGTATTTCAAAAGAAGCAGTTTTGGGAATGTTGTAATCATTGGGGTTGGAAAGGACCTCAGGAGGCCTCTAGTCCAACCTCAAGCTCAAAGCAGGGTCAAAACTAAATTCCCATCAGGTTGCTCAAAATGGGAAATTTTTTTAAATAAGCAAACAGTTTAACCTACTTGAGTACCTTAAACACTATTATATAATTGGTATAATTGATCATTATTTAAAAGCATCACTACAAGGCAAAATCTAGGGGTTTTAATTTTTAACTGTGCATTCAAGACATTTCAGAGTTGCTCTCAGGTTTATCTTTAGTTCTGAATTCCCAGAGGTTTTAGTATTTACCTTGTAAATGTTTTTTATTCTCAAATTACTGGTATCTGGTTTTATTCTTTTTATATGGATCTTACAAATAATATTTACCTGAAAGATTTTTGTGTATTTATAGGCACACACAAAGTAAAAGCATAAAAATTATAAATAATAACAAAATAAATAATAAAACTTTAGGAAGATGAGAAGGTGTTTCATGCTATAATTGAAACATATAAATATAACTATGCCAGATTTATCCAGACTATACTACATTAGAGTCTCTGTGTCAAACATTTCCTATTGAATAGTTGTCACTGAGTATCTAGAGCCAGCCAAGAGGAGCCATTAGGCACAATAACTTAAGAGGAATTTAGACCAGATGACTCAGGCTCTTCATACCCACTGAATTGTGTAATGTTATGAGCATTAAATAGGATATATGACAGTCTCTAAGGTTTCTATTTAACTAGACAATTTAAGGCTTTTTTTCATCATGTTAAAGTAATTACATTGATCATGCAATCTGTTTTCATAACTAAGCAGTTGTGAAAATCTCAAGCTTACAGTCACACTTTGAAGAACCAAACACTTGGGCAAGCAAGAAGGCAGCACAGCAATTGTGAAGTACCTTGGACTGACCTAAACCAAACTTTTGCTTACCATTACTTCCAATTTGTCAAATAAGACTGTGATGAAAAGCAAAAAGACATTTTCAGAATGCCATTCTATCATTTGTTTTAAAAATTCATGTGTTTACAAGCTATTAGTTTATTTAAAGATCCACTGTGTTAAGCTTTCAGCAACACTTAAAGGATGCAATTAAATTTGAACTTAATTTTAATTTAAGTATGGCAGATACATAACTTTTTAAATTTTTATAATTGTGCTGCCTGTTTAACTCATGAATTTGCTGAGGGTACCATAGAAAATATTGATGCAAGTACCATATTAATTATTTTATTTATGCTAGGTTTTATTTCATAGTTAGAATAAGTATTACCGTGAACTTCTTGTTGTAGTTATTTAAAGTTGTCTTCCTTTGACACGAATACTGAGATACTTTGCTTGCAATAAATGATGGCACTTCTGATTCAGGTGTATTCAAAGGAGGAGACTGATCTTGTTCCTAACAACAAAAAAACGGGGAGAAGAGTTGGTGACACACCTGTCAAATAGCCTAAAATACCAAAAGTACATTTCATGATCCCAAAATATGTACCTTTAAAGAGAAGGCAAAAGAACAATAACGCTTCTACCATCTTTCTAGGAAAAACATTTAATTTCACATTGGCTGCACTAACAATACCAGTTTATCTGGTGATTACTGGGATTTTTCATTTTCTGCAGTAAGTTCTTGCAGGCAGTTTTCAATGGCACTGTCATTTAAAAAAAAAAAAAGTCTCTCTACAGGGCAAGTCTCTACTACTCTTATTATTGCAGTAATATTGATAAACCACAAAGCTTTAAAAGTGGATAAGCTTGAAAGAACAGAGTTTTCCCAGAAAACACTAGATTATTCAATATAAAATCAGGGATTTAGACTGAGGAGGAAAAACAAAAAAGAAAAAAGAAAAAAAGGAGATGCTCAAATAACTGACTTTTTTTTCTTTTTCAGTGGTGGAGGAAAAATGTTTGTATGACTTTAAACTTTTCCCCCCTCTTCCAGGTAAAATGAAAGAAAACTTTTTTGGTTTGGATTTAATTCATTGAGCTAAATGTTCTATTTTGGGGTCATTATTAAGCAAAGGAAACATTTACAAACAGCCATGGAAGAGTCATCTCCACCCTTTCAACCAACAGCTAGTGTTCCTCTTATGCTGTGATTTCTCACTCAGCCCCTTCCTTATATGCTGATCCAATTCAGACATCACTTTTAGGTGTTTGCTGGTGCAAGGAAAAGGAGCCAGGTGCCAAATCTTAAATGGGAATTTCCCAACCACCAGGCTACCTACATGCTTGTTTGCTTTTCACCTAATTTTGCTCCATGCAAAATTGACCAAGATCAACAAAAAAGTTTTGGGGCACCCCCCCCCAAGGGGGGGGGGGGGGGGGGGAATTTCTCCTGAAAGGCAGGATACACAGAATTGTGTCCCTGTTGACAAAAGAGAGTCTTAAGCACAAGTCCTCAATATGCAAGTGTCCTGACCAGTGAGCAACTGAAAAGACAATCTAGCACCAGCTTTTCTGCTGCTTTATATGCCCAGTCCTTTAATCCCTTTGCTTTCATTAGAACTGCCCAAATCTTAAATACTTGGGAAACACCCAAAGCATTCTCAGCATTTCTGTGTATTTTTTGCTATTTGTCATTTTGTTTGAAAACATTTGGCAGATCTGTCAAAAATGTATTGCATTGCACTATCCAAAACCACAGGGAAATGGTTCAACAACAACAAAAAATATCACAAAGATACATGGAGGAAATTTTCACCCCAATAATGGAATGATGAGCCCTTTCTCCCCTGTATCCAAAGTCGTGCAGACATACAGCTAGCATCTGTGCTAGGCAAACCTATAAATATGTGTATGTGCCTTCACACACACTCCCCCACACATATAATTTCATGCTAAATTGCCTTTGTATTTGATACAGAGTAGTTAAATAACGGTATTCATGCACACACAAAAAAGGCATTTACTTGCACAGCTGAAGGAGCAGTGAATTATATGGCAGTTTCCATAGTATACACTGAAAGGAAGGAAGCTATTTTATGTGTAAGACCACTCTTGGGAATAACTGAAATGGGTTTCAGCCAGGATCAACAGCACAACTCATCCACTTTTGCACACATTCATGAATTATACTTTAAAATTGATTTTAAATCATATAAACTATGACCGATTACAGCTAATATACTGCTTGAAATGATAGTGCCAGCTGCAAAGACTGCGAACAAACACAACGTTACTGAATAGAATATATAATAAGCTATTATATTCATTAGGATATATACACACAAAGAACAACAGCCCTACATGTAGCATTACCTAGCATTGTGGATGAGAGCAGAATTAATGCGGAAACTCTATGCGTTTAAGAGGGTGATAGACTGGCACATAAACATCCTGTTCCTGCCTTAGCAAAGATATTTGAGCATTTTTCTTAATCAGTAATAGTTATCTTTTTAATTAACAGGCTTTGATTATATATAACAACAGAAGAAACTTCAGCTAGAAATCAACAGCAAAAACATCTAGCAAACAGTAATCACTATAGTCTGATTTTTAGGGAATATTACGATGCCTGCATGAGAACTACAGAGATGATCTATCATCAGCAGAAGATAGGAACAGGATTGATACTGGGTTTTGGTGGGAAGATCAGATGGGACAAACCAAAAGTTTCATCCAGTAGCAATTACAGTGTAGAACAAGCAATCCTGGAAACTCACACTACCTCAAAATAATTTGTAGTACTGGGAAGAAATAACTATGGATATGAGAAAAAAGTAAGAATTAAAATTCCTTTTTTTGCAGATAACTCCACTACATTAAAACTAAATTATGATACACTGCAAAGGGGCAACCACTGAAAAAAAAAATCTAAATGTGTAGGCTACTGAATTGCTAGAGCTAGTCAGAGTTTGTACCCCACATCCAGGCTGAAGTAAGAGTGAAAGTCACTGCCACTCCTTCACGGTGACATTTTCTACATGGCATAAGCAAGAAAATCATCCTGTACCACTAGCATCTATTTGCACAGCAGAGGGGCTTAGTTACAGAATTAATCCTGTAGAGGAATACTTTGCTCTTTGTCAAACTATTTTTTTTAATACACAAAGTAGTATAATGACATAGGGAAATAACAGAGAGAGAAAACGGAGCAGCAGTGAGTAAGGTGCGCAGATACTAGAGACTGTGTCAGGCCACATTATTCAACAGCCAGCAGCTTTGTAGTCCAGACAGCATTGATCAAATAATGAAGTCTGCTGATATCCAGCATTTTATGAAGAGAAGGCAGCCAGTTTATAAGTTTCATTTTATTTTCTGGGAAAGTCTGACTGTCAGTATGAAGGATTTCTTCCATTAGTTAGAGCCTCTCTCTTTCACGAGGCAACAGAGTGAGACACTCCGAAAAATGTTAAATATGAGTTGCTTGCCACATGATACAGCAAGGGATCAAAAGATGTGGTACTTCCTTTTCCTAATGTGGAGGGAAATCCTTTGTTCAGGAAATAGATAAATCTCTTTTCCTTGCTAAAAAAATAACTAACTAACAACTTTGGGGTTCTGACTGAGAAAAAGGCGGAAGAGACACAATCACAAGCACAGTTCCTAAGGCTGCTGAGGATGTGAACCAACCTATTGTTCTCTTCCTTTCTTTTTATCCTTCTGAAAGCTTCCCCTCTGCCTCTTTCTTTTCCATTACCCAGGAAACATCACTACTTTCTAGCATGTGGGGATGCCCTTGCATACATATTGATGTCCATGTCCTGCTATTGTCCAGAATACCCATCTGCTTGCGGTGGGAAGGGCATCTCTGGACAAAGCAGAGAAATACTTTGATTTCCCTTTAAAGCGGATGTTTGGCTACCACACTTCCATAGCCTATTAAATTAAATGATGGCTATTAACTATAAAAGTCAACTGTTACCAAATGAATCAATAAGAATTCAGACCATCTTAGATCTGGTCACCCAACCTTTTATACTCTATAAATCACTAACATCAGAGCACCTCTTGGATCATTCGCAACCACAGAAGGATGTACTTTGGTGACAATTGTAACTAATATGTTAGCTAATGGTCTGTAACTCTGACTTTATTCCCCTTGTTTTGCATGAAGAAGGACATTTCTTTTTAGTAATCCATTAAAACAAATGTCCTGAATGAAGAACAACCTTCCAAATAGGCTACTGTAAGATCTGAAAGAGGAAATCTTACTGCTGTTGATATTAATGGCAATTTTATTCACCCAAAACATTCCCCCACTGCAATCCATTCCTTACACCTCAAAGCCTTCATGATGTAGCCTGAGTTCAAGGGTTGTTAATTCACTTTCATTTCACATTTTACAAGACTGACATAATTTGTCTTCAGTGAAACTCCAATTAAATTACATTATATATGAATTTGGTCTAGTACTTAAAAAGAAAATTAACCACTACTTCAATCCTTCCTCATTTCTCAAGGCAGAAAAAAAAAAATCATGGTGACACTGCAACAATAAAATTATTTTTAAATTTGCTGAAATTCTAGAATCCTTGCTCTTCCTTCCTTGTTTGCTTTACAAATATGCTTATTTCTTTAGAGTCACTATATAATTAAGATTGGTCTTAACTATAAGCTTTAATGTTAATGGTACAGCTGTCACTGGCTTGCTTATTGCACTCTACATTTATTAGCATGAAATATTTATGTTTCAATAAAAACAGAAACTCTTACTTGCAGAGCCAGTCTCAAAGTATACTAACAATCTCCTGACAGTGCTGCTACCTTTTTCAGAAGTTTTTGCTCCAGCAGTACTCCAAAAGGACTTTTATATATAAAAGAAAACTAAGGCAGTTCAACTTGCAGTGGCCTCCTCATTGATTTAAAAAAAAAAAAAAAAAAAAGGCAAAAAAAAAAAAAAAGTAAGCTTCAGCATCGTTGGAGACATTTTGGAGAAAGACAAAGGCATTTCTGACTTTGAAAGGAAAAAAACCCATCTATTTTCTGAGATGTCTGAATCTATAGGTCTTCACACACTGCTGAAACTACGAATGTACATAAAGGGTAATTTAGTTTTCTTTTAATCCTGATGTGAAACTCTCAGCAAAGTTCACAGGATTTTTGCTCATGTTTTGGATTTATTTCTTGTTTAGAGAACTTCTTTGCATACCCAGTATTTTTATTTTTACAACCTGTTTGCCTGTGAGATTACACAATGCAGTAGTTACAAGGTTTTCAGGTTTTTTCTGTTTTGCATTAATTTCTTTGGTCTATTCTCCCTCCAGCAGATTCACTGAAAAGATTATAAACATACTGCAGAAATACTTCATTGGAAGGATTGCAAATACAAACACATATTCTGTCACGGAATTATGCTGAGTCTGAGAGCGACAGCTCCATCTGGTGTATTCACTCCCCAGCCCCACCCCCAAGTGTTATTAAACAGTAATTCTTACATGTAAAATCCTGGAAAATAGTTTCTGGCAATGAAAGATGTTTGAAAAAATTAATCAGGAGCTACAGTTTTTCTTGGGGAAGGGTGGTATTTATGAATCATCCTTCATAATCCAAACATCAGGATGAAGAAGCAGCAAACAGTGTGATACTGCTGTTAAATATTCAGGCATCCTCCGCCTCACAGGAAGGTACACGCTGATGATCCTGCCGCGGTCCCAGTGTTTACAGGTTTCCCAGTTATCATTTTTGCAGTGGGATAACAGTTCACATGGAGCCTAATCCAGACCCTCAGGAATCAGCAGGAATCCCTCACTTTACTTCAGAGAGCTTTAGATCAGACTTGTAATTCTCTTGATGTATGAATTAATTTCTTCACCAGTGCACGTTATATCCATCACCGTGAGGCTTGAATGGTGCAGAACAAGGGAATAGGTTCATCCTGCCACAGCGCAGGGTCTATTTCACGGCCCAGCGGCACGTGCTGTCGTCGCTCTGTGCTCAGCGCACCAGGCATCCCTACCACACCCTCATCATTTATAGTCTGTACTGGGGGTATTGAATACCACCATTTCACACTACGTTCCAATTTGAGAAATTAGCACATAATTTTGTCAGATATAGATCAGAGGAAAGTATGTCATCATCCGTTGCTTCAAGGTCAAACACCGTTCACCAAATAATCAGCCTGCCATTCAAAATATCCTCTGACCTAGAGCTCCCATTGAGAGAGAATACAATATAATAAAACCATTTTTTTTCTTAGGACAGTTTTACTTGATGGTGCCAAGTTTGTAAATGCATGTCTACAGACTGCAGCAGCCTTCATTTCACAGGTCCTTCAAGGGCCTAGCGGTTAGCTGGTCACTTCCAAACAGCAAAGGTTTTAATATTTTTGTATCGTTTTGAAGAGGCAAAGTATTCCCTCAGGAGCCCATTAAAACACACTGCTCTCAGTGGGACATTTACCATGACATTGAAGTATTTGTGGAAATACCACAAGTACCACAACAACAGCGAGTGCTTCATTGATGGATATTTCCCCTTTAATGGCACCCCTTTTTTTACAGGAATGATGTATATTACCAGTTTGTAACATGTGATGGCATAGTAATTTAGCATTACCAGACACTGATAGAGAAGCTATGGAAGGTCTTTTTAATCTGTTAAAACTGTGCGAATTACTCATGTAAACTTTAGTAAAAAAAGTTTTTAAATTCAAAAAATATATCACAACACAAGTATATAAAAAACACAACTAATCACAGTCATGCATTTTGAACATCACTGTATTTGCACTGAAGGATCTGTCTTACCATGAGACGATACTTCATTTCTGAATCAACTGGTCTTCCTGCTTCCATGCAGGCTGTGAACCAGGAGATATCCAGTAGTTCAAACCTGGAGCTGTCGCCCACAGCCTGTCCTCTCAGCCAGTCCAGCACCTCCAGGTAAGAGTTGTTCTCGGCCACAATATGAGTGACAGAGTCACTGTCAAGAAGTACAGAAAAAGAAGTTTCCTTTTTTCCTGAACCCAGCTGTACACACATAGAGCTGCTATTTCCTTATTTACTTACCACGCACTTCCTGAAATTTTAGTATATATTGTACGTTAGGATGTGGGAAGCAGTTGTATTTTCATATCACAATATATCTATTCCAGTCACTGAATCTGCTTTGAGGAAAGACTTTAGCCATAAGCTCCCATAAGTGCAGCATTTTGTTTCTTTCAGTATCATTTGCCTTCCATAAGACTTTAACCTATTACGCACTTTTTGCAACTCTGAAAATATTTGGCTTGCGCAAGCAGTACCATAATGAAAAGGCTACTTTACGATACCTGATAGCCCCTTCTCAATATTCCTGATCAATGAATGAAAGATTTACAGTATTAAAAAGCCTGTTAACAATAATTCCTTAAAGCTTTACAGCTAGTAATATCTTTTTGTAAATTTAACTTTTCTGTTCTTACATTAAGCTTTTTACATATAGCATTGTCAAATGTTCATAACTTATGAATTATGCACTCCATCTAAAGACTGCTTCCTTGCTACTAAGAGGCCAGTCTCTTACGAAACTGATATCTTAGTTTAGTGAATATAAAATGTACAGATTGAGTTATTGTTCAATAGCTTATATGGTGTACATTGCTTAAAAATACAGTAGCACAGACTTTATTACACTAAATTTGGGTCCATGTACTAGAATAACATTGGAAAGAATCCCATGATAGTTCATCATTAAAAAGACACAATTCTGCACCTTCCACAGGAAAATAATGGAGAGGGACAAAGTTATATTTCAAGAAAAAATTACATACACACTTAGGATGATCTGTAAATTTTTACCTGGCCTGCTGATGTTCCTCAGCAAGTTTAGAAAACTACTAACTTGGTAGGAAATCTTGAGTGGTTCCTAGTGTTCCCCCTTCACACACAAACCCCAGGAGAGTGCTGTTACCCACAAAGACAACAACAGATAAAGGACAAAACTATTCATTTTCATGAAATTTGTAGGACCTCAGTATCTCTGAAATATATGCCAAAATTAAATGATATCAGTCAACAGATTCCTAAACTTCTTGGGGAAAAGGCACAGACAAGACAGTCTCATTATATGACCTAGTTTCCATAGAAATAAGCCTAGAATTGGAACATAAACTGTCCCAATAGCAGCCGCCTCCATTTGCAAGCCTCCGTAAACCTCCTGCTAGCCCATGCTGGTGACAGCCTTGTGCGTATACAGTAAATTTCAAACAGACCTGACAGATTGCTTTGCAGCCCTTCTGTAACACCTGGAGAAGTTAATCCACCAACCTGTCCAAGCAGACAGGACACCACTGGTAGAGATAGCTGGTTAGTATGGACCTTAAAAATGACGGCTGATAACTGTTGAAGGCAGGCTGCACAACCTTTCAAAGCAAACTACTTTCCAGGAGACCAACAAAACCCCTTGGCCTATCCCTGTGACCCTGATTCATATCAATAATCACTGATTTCATTAAATCGCCAAACCACAATTACAAATACTAGAAACTGACCATAGAAAACTGGTATCACATAACTCTCCAATGCATTAAATGTACTATATTTTTGAAAGATACGAAATTTATTGAATGTACTATACTTTGGAAATACGAAAACTGTCACAGTATAGCACTTTTTTTTTCTCTCCATATTGTGAAGCTTGTAGAGCAGAGTCCATTGGGGGGAAAAAAAAATCCAAATTTATTTTAATCTAAAAGATTAAAAATCTAGGTTAGGTGAATATTCATGAAATACTATTGCATTTGTTATTATCTATCCCTGCTAGGTTCTACTTTAATTAAACTGTCACATCTTTGCTTGAGTTAAAAAAAAAAAAAAAAACAGTTAGAGACATAGAACTTCTGCTTCCTGTGGTTTATTCCACTTTATATAAAATATTCATATGTAATGTATTTGTACCGAGCTGCAGATCTGGGAACTTTGCCATCGCTATGCTCACAGCAGCAGTTTAGCTGCTGTGCACCAGTTTCCTCTGGTACCTGTACAGCTGCACTTTTTTCCTGGCACAGAACGTAACAAATTTAGCATTTCCTCTGGCATTTTCAAAAACAAAAATCAACAGTTAAATAGTTATGTTTTATCCAGTAGCAGCTAGGCTGAAATTAAACATAACACCTGCCTTGCATACAACTTACAGAAAGTCTGAAATAGTGGCAATAAATACCTGTGTGTCAAAGCAGACCAGATAAAGCCTCTACTCAGTCCTCAATGGATTGTTAATGTAGGATTCAGAACAGCACAGTTCATTTTTTTTCCCCTACGAATTCAATTAGTTTTGTATCAAACACTAATTGCCTACTTCTGTTCAATACCTGCTTGAATCTTGCTTTACAAATTATTTCATCCTCCCCTCTTCCTCAGGCTTTCAAAGTCAATGGGATTGAAAAAAATCTGTGGAAATGAGCTTTTATAGGGAGGATCCAGTTGTATACTATCTGCATACAGATACAGACAAATTATCAATACTTGGTTTTCTTCCAGCCTTTCAGAGAGCCTACATAACAATGTAGCTTTCGGAGAACTGCATAATGTAACTAGCACTCATGAAAAGCACTATTTGGAGGAAGGCTTCCTTCAAAATGAGTTGGCTTATTGAAACACCACCAGACAAATCTGCAGGTGAAGTATATTTTCATCCTGAAATGCCACATCTGTGGTACTTTATTCCCAGTTTTTTTCTCCAGTGCTCTTACAGATTGTACCAAAGCGTAAGCCAGTAACTTTGAGACTCACATCAGTGTATTACTCACAGGAAGATTAAATATTAGAATACTAGAGGTGTTCTAGAGAAATGTCCCCCTCAACCCATCACATTTTCCGTTCCTGTATATTTAATGTTTTTTCATTTCAGGAATTGGCCATTGAGTTTAGATTAAGCTTAACCTGACTTCAAGGAGGACATAAACAATGGCTGATTTAAATCAGCTAAAGACATGATTCACTGACTCCAGTGAGACTATACAAAGGCATAGAAACATATCCCATGAAAAACAAGTTCACACCTTACAGTTTTTATTTGCCATGTGAGAAGCAGTACACTGAAAAATGTAGACATGTTAAAATTAACAGACTTAAGATAAATTAGAACCACAGATTTTAGAGGTAAAAAATAAGAAATTTTGCTAATGTTTGTGTTCTGCCTGTTGTTTGCCCAGAAGGCAATAAAAACGAACCACACTTTAGCAACACCCACTGAAATCCTGAAGCATCTTTATAGCAGGAAGAACAAAGTATATCCACCAAATATGTAGGCAAAATCTTCAACCACACTTACTTGTATGATTACATTTATTAAATTAGAACGCTTCAAGCAGCATTACTACATGTTATTTCTACAAATATAAACATTTTCCTACCTTAGTTCACTTTCTACTCGGAAACCTTTTCTTCTTGCCAGCTCCATCAAAAATGTCCTTCTGGACTTCCCCATCTTCCTCTGCATAATAAAAATGACAAACTTATTGAACTTTATTTCATAACTGCAGGAAAGGTTTGGGGAATGCATCCCTTTCTGTCTCTTCCTTTGGGACAATACAGCTGGAGCTCTGATCCTATCCATGACACAAGGTAGAAGTGTTCTCACTTGGGTAAAAGGGAGATAACATATTTTCTGCCAGGCAGCAGCTGTATTTAAAGTCACCACCCATTGAAGTAATTTTCTTCTGTTTCCCCTCTGAAATCAAAAACAAGTGCTACACAGGCAGAAACATCACTTGCTTTCTACCAGCTGGGACTTCTTGCACAGAACTACTCTAGAGAGGTGCGAATATGCTTTCATTCCTTAAAACAGCCATTACCTGTAAAGACTTTATCCAAATAAAATTGATCATAGCAAAATTATCTCAAAATATCAACCAGGTCTTCAGCTGGTTTAATGGCCCAGTTCCATCAATTTCTGCTTTCAAATTGTTTCCAGATCTCACTTTTCCAAACTGCAGGGCACATTAATTTTCAATTTATTTAAAAAATAATAATAATTCTTCCTACTGTTAGCTAGGAACTATGTCTTAGAATAGAACTAAATAACAGTATACAAAAATGTTGTAGAATAGCCTGTACACTTGCTACTTCTCTGTAATTAATTTGATTTAAAACGGATAGGTTTTTTTGAGAGAGCAAACAAAAAATAAGTTGTTGAAATTAAATTTACAATAAAAGAAATCCTTTGCTGTTTTGATACTAAGGCAATGAAAGACAAAGAGAAAGCATTAGAGATGTGTTTAAATACACTTTTGGCATGCATTGCTGACTTTGCTTTCTACTATTTGCCCTGGAAAGTACTGCTATCTACAGTACAGTAGGGAAAAAGTAACTACCTTACCGCTTTTAAGCACCCAGTGACCTCCAAACCACTACAGGGGTGATTATGGAGGCTATGTACCATCCTCTCCTAGAAGATGGGGTATTGGTCATCAGAGAACTATGCTAAACTTTGTTGCAGACATTGTGTTGGATCCAGTTAGGTATCACCCTGAATTTCCACCAGAGCAAAGTGAGTGCAAACAACCAGCATGTGCATCTATTTCAGCACAAATCTACTTCAGTGGTATATATCCCCATTTCCACGTCAAGTTGGATTTTTATTTTTAGTGTAGCAGAGAATTTGGATTTTACCAGTCCTTCAGAATGTGTCAGAAATGTTATATCTTGCAATTCTCATTGCTCATGTTCAGGAGAGGAAGCAAGGTGGAAAAATCCTGCCTAAGTCAGATCTATCAATTTTATTTTCTGTCATTTTATCATGGATGGATATACAACCTAAGTTATGGAAAAAAAAGTCAAAACCCATTTCCTGCAATTATTGCCATGAGTTAAAAATTAAATTATAGAAGTATTACTGACATTTTCCCAGCCCTGTAGGTCTTGCTGCTTCAACTGTATTGTAACAGATACAAAGAAATAGTTTTCATCAGAATAGAAACTAACCATCAAAAATTAATATAGAGCTTTCAGCTCTGGGGTCTTCCTGAGGCCATGAAGAAAATATATACATAGTTCAGTACATACACTAGACTCCATTCATTTCTTCCCTTGCCTAAGGATAACCCAGAAGCCAAAATATCTTTTCCTCTTTCTGATTCATAACATTAAAATTGTCAAAGTAAATCATTTCAAGGTTATTTTGAAATTATACAAGATATTTTCATAAGAACTGGAAAATGGACAAGCAGACTTTAAGAGGCTTACACAAAAGAATGGCAGCAAGGAAGAATAAAAAAATTTAATAGTGATGGGTCTGGCATTAAGGCTGAGCAATCTATTTTGTTGCTCCGTGTCTGTTTTCCAGACTACTAATCAACCGTTGAACACTGGCCATCTCCCTGTTTACAGCCTTCCTAGGCTTCGTAAAATGTTTTACTTTATCTCAATCCCTACAAGGAATAATGTATTTTAGAACAGATTCTTTACATATGTTAAACAAAGTCTTATTTTATGTTATAATTAATTTAGTGCTCTCAAATATGTAAATATAATTTCCCCCAGTGTAACATCAAGATGCTCAGTGCCAGTAAAATCCTTCTGGCATGAAAAACATAAGTTGTTATTCCTTTGTGTTTCTGTCATAACTCTTGAGCCAGATTTTCAAGGGTATTTAGGTGCCAAAAAGCTGCAAACAGAGGCCTAGTGGGATTTTCAAAATAGCGAAGCAACCTAGGCACCCGGCTCCTTTGGTAATCAATTTCTAGCTTTGAACCTAATGCAACGAGATTTTCTCTGTCTAATAAACACAGTATAATACCATGAAAAGGTCCTTGCCAATGATGCAATTTTATTAAACATACCTTATAAAATTAACAGGATTTCCATATCCCAGATGAGTGAATAACCTACTCTCCTACAACATTACTTTATAATATTTTTGACAGTAACACAGAAAGTAGAATATGCATTAGGGAGAGAGCAAATACAGTGGAGGAAAAGCATGTCTCATATTTATGACAAAGGAAAAGTATCCTGTTATCTAAGTCATGACACCACATATGGTTAGTGGCCTAAAACTACAGAAACTTGCAGAAATTTGTCCATCTCGGTACAGTCTCCCAGAGTTCAGAGTAGTTCACATCCCTGGAGGGAAATCTAGAGCAAATTTCCACGTTCTGATGTTGCTGTGGATCAGTTTTACATGCTATCAAAGGGACAGATTAAGAACAAGATGTACACAAATGTTGGGCATTTAAGTAAACGTCTTCCATCACTTGTGATGTCTGTGCCAACAACAGCATCCCAAGCAGTCCTCAAGCAGTGTCTAGTACAGACCTCAGCCTGAAGCCAGAGTACGGATCTGGTTTCAAAGGGGGTTTCCTTGGGAGTAAAAGTGCAGGAACACAGAATTTCTGGAAAGCACAGTTCAGGTCCTCTGAATTTCAGTATTTGCACATGCTTTCACTGCACCTTCTTGATTATTGTCAGATAGTCTTTTAGTGCCCTGCTTTCATGTGAACTGCATTGTAAATATTTTATAAAATGTTACTTGCCTATTTTATATAGCTTTCCTGTGAAGAGGGGTGAAATGTGCTTTTAATACACAGCTGCAGTATGCTAACCTACAGAGAAAGCATCTCAAGCACCACCAATAAAAAGTAGAGAAGAGATTGTTTGGATACTGTTTTTGATTTCACATAGGCTTAACAGTGTTTCATGCAGTACTGTTTCACAAGGATTAATTTTTCTTAGCTTTTTCATTTTAAAGTCTTTGGTAATTCAGCATTTTCCAATGAACAATTTCATGGAAATTTTAAAATCCTTCTGATATTTGTTGTTGTCTAGATATTGCCACAACTTTGCTTTTGTTTAAATTCTGGCCTTCTTGGCTGCTAAGCATTCCCTTTGCTGTTCTACCTGTTCTACCAATCTCTCAATGCCTAAAAATAACATGGCAGGTGTTTTTCCTAGTTTTAGTAAAAATTTTGTGGAATCCAATTATATTTTTAAATTAAGTTATTACATAGAACTTTTCTATATTTGTACCACTTACACTTAGCCAATGCACAAACTTATACCAAAATGTAAAATATCTATGAACTTTGTGACATTTTATCTCTTACAAACAAGTACAGGGTTTGTTTTCATCTTTTTATTTATTTGTTTTACTTCAGTCTCCTGCTTTACTTGTCATATGGACTCATGAAGGCCTCAAGATTCTGTACTTAATTCCACATTATGTGGGAAGTTTTCATTGTTGTTTAGCAGGTAATCAACAACCTTAACAATATCTTACAATTCCATCAGACAAAAGGAGTCAGTTCCTGGAGTTCCTGGACAGTGCTTACCTGCACCAGCAAGGTACAGTTTGAACTTATGTTGCATGAATCTATTTCTTTAGTCCTGATTTTTTTCCCATATACTAATATATAAATTCTTACAAAATGAGCATGGTAAACCAATCTGGCTAGCCTACAAAACACAGAAAAAGAACATCATGCTATTACATTTGATTCCAGTGTTTTGAATAAATATACTATTATTAGAGATAAGGAAAAGTTGAAAAGTATATTCTGGAAATGTTTAGATACATTTAAAAATCAATTCTCCCTCATCCCCTTTGGTGTTTATATTCTTTGAACTACTAGAACATTTTCAGGGAGCAACTTTGAAGTATACATGCTTGAGTTATTCACACCAAAGATGATAAACCACCCAGATGACCAAGAATTTTGAAAAACTGATGAATTGATAGTACGCTTTGAATGTGCTTACTTGGCTGTATCACGGTATTTGGCATGTAAGATAAAGTAGGCTTAGAGAGGAAAGAAAATCTTGTAGTTGCTGTCATTAAATGTACATTTCTGATGTATGTGGTCAGAATAGCTGCTTATTATCTTTTTCTTTTTTTTTTTTTTTCCCCCAAATTGGAGATGAAAACCTGAATAAGAAGAATGTATTTAGCAACATCACTCAAAAACTGCCCATGTAGAAATCACACCAAGAGCTGGCAGCTTCTTTAACTGATTGTATACAGAGCTATTATAGAAAGGGTTTGTTCTTCTAAGCCCTTTCTGAGGAAACTGGGGAATAGTGATATCACAATGCTATATAATTAAATAGAGCAATAGGGTTCCCCCTTACAGTATGGGGAAAAGTAATTGGTGACAAATCCTGGCAGGAGCTACTTCCTAGCCACATCAATATGCCTATATTCCCTGGAAACTATTATTTTTACTCTTCCTTCAGTCTCTCTGTTCAGTAACAAGGTTTACAATTGCTCTCTCTGGTTGCTCCGCTAATGGTAGCTGCTGCTCCTTGTTGTGATTGTTATTGGACTATTCTTTGATTTTTTGTGCTGGTGCATCAATGGTTTTCTTTATACTGTAGTCTTGTGGGAGCCTCATGAACCTCTCAGCAACAAGCAGAGACATGTCTGCATAATCCCATCAATATACATGGTCAGGCAGGTCCTTTGACAGTTCTGCAGCTCTTCCAAACACAGTTTACAAAGGTAAAGGTCTCTGGATGTTGAGTGCCATTTATTTATTCTCTCACATTCATGTCATTGCCAGTATTAAGGGCATTTCCGTTAATGAACAAATACCAAACAACGCTTCAGAGATGAGGAGCTAC